CGGTTAATTAGAACTGTTACCGATTTACCCAATTTAGCGCGGCGATCATATCATTGAGGCAATAAATTGGCTTGTCCTTGCCTGCTGGATGGACAAGCGTATATTAAATGTCCAACACATGCTCTCCGAACTTCTACGCGTCAGCTCATTAAGACGCATGCATGCATGCATGCAACTCGTTGACTTGCACTGACTGGACGAAAATATTCCGAGCGAGACATTTTGTTTTTTCTTTTCTCGATCTCGTCGCCCGAGACGAGAAATTTTAATCACTTTCAGGAGAAGAAAGGTCGAGTATTTTAATTGGAATGTTATACACGGATATATAGCAGAGGGAATGAGAATTTATTGGTCTGTTTGTTTCCCCAAGTTTCTGTCAATTTATGCTGTTTACTGTATAACACGTTATTGCAAACCGACTGAAACGTTCGACGACTCGCAACAACAAGCGGCAAAGCAATTACATTTGAGGTGTAGTCTTAATTACAAATGTTATGTCGCGTGCGATAGATATTTCCTCGGAGGCTAATTTAACGAAACGTCGACATTGTTTGCCGAAACACTTTGATGAGCGTGTCGGATGTGAACTCCTTCCAAACCTAACCTAAACCTCGCGGAGAACGTGAATTGCATTTAGTGGACAAATTCGAACAAATTGTTCGTTTTACTTAGCATTTCAGCATGTTGCAATTACATTTGTGAAATGAACGAGGCACAAGGCAAGATAGATTTTCTCGTTTGTCCGTGATATTAACTCATTCGCGCAGAACAACGAGACTCAGGCTCGTGGTATATTTTTGTAGCAATAATATGCATTAACGTGTGCAAATTAATAGCCGGGATAACGCTGTGTTGTACTGCGACTGATTTCTATATAATTACGAGATAATTTATAGCGACAGCGATGAAGAGATTTTTTTTTTTTTTTTCAAAGACAGGAAAAACGTTTTAGACGTGCATCTTCCAAAGATTCTGATAATCAGGATGCAATAAAAACAAATTGAACCTCAACAAGTGAGAATGATGATTGGAATTAAGTTCTCAAAGATAATCGAAAAAGTTTTATCTCCACGGGAACACCAGGTATAAACCCTTTACTTTTGGAAAAATTACGAGATAATAGATTTATTCAATCTAATATCGACTCATGATTATTGGTAAATAGTGAAAATTACAAAAAGAAAAGATACAAAAAGTGAAACTACTTGGGAATGTGAACTTTGTTTGGTAGATTTTCATATCTCAGAATGTTTCAAGAAGTATCATACTGAAATAAACTATTAACACACACACACACACACACACACACACACACACACACACACACACAC